AGAAAACAGCGCGGAGAAAGATTGAAAAACGAATTAGTTGGTCGCGCGCGCGCGCGCGCGCGCGCGGGACTTTATTGATTAAGTAATCTTAATACATCGCTGGGCCGCAATGTACCATAAAGAGAGCGGAACCGGAAACGATCCATTCTTAGCGGGGAATATGCTTTGTCGGCGGTCGCTCTCTCGCCCGCTCGGCCGAATTTCTGCTTTGATTAATCTATCCCGACTTTTTCTACCCGCGTGAAAGACTTATCATCTGGACCGTTGCGATGCGCGGCAATCTCTGGCAAGTTTCCAGAGCGCACTCAGGTTGTCGTCTCGAAATATTTCGCCGGAGCTGCACACGGCAGGCCAACAGCAGGCTACGGGAAAAGTTGATGCGCCCTTATGAATCTCTCTCCCGGCCATTGCCAAAACGCGGTAAGAAAGTCGTGAAAACCGTCGTCGCGTTGTTATTGTGGTGTACGAGCCATGTCGGAAAGCATCGAGTCTCCGGCGAACGAATGTAACAAAAGGAAACTCGAGGGAAGCGATTTGTTGTTTGTCCTCTGTAAAGTAGCCAAACATATTGCGGCGACGTTTTTCTGGAGCATCCCTTCGAGAACGATGTTTAAATCGAAGCACCGAGAGCAAAGTAGATATATATCTTGTCAATTTTTCCGAAAGAAATGAAACGAATAAATAGAAAGTGCACGGAGAAAATTTTATAGTAAAAATTGCTGTAGGATTTTGTAACATATTATTTTGCTGCAGCTGACTATCCTTTTACTTCATATGTGCTATTTAAGAACTAAAATGTGCTATTAAAAAATTGTCCTTAGAGAAATATAGTAAAATTCTAGCGAAATTTACCATTTCCTTAGAACAAGATGGACCTTATTGACAATTTATTCCTGCACTACTAGAAATATAATAAAATTGAAAAGAATTTCTACGAGACAGAACTATAATATATATTTTCTCTGTATAGTATTCGCAAAATGTTCATTTATTCGTAAATAAACGAGCGAGTAAACTTTTCAGCAAACGATCGTATTGTTTTTGCAATTGATTTGATCATGTGATGATTTCAATCCCACACATCGTATATTTCTGTCCTACGTTAATAATCTCAAGGGAGCTTTTCCTCGTGTCGCAATTGATTCTCCTTATATCATCGGATCCATCGCAGTATATTTTTCTCGTCTCGTAATCCCGCAGAATTTACGTGCAATCTCAGTCACGGCTGATCCATCCGACAATGTCCGCGCGATGACGACGACGACGACGACGACGGTCGATCGACCGTTCAACATCCATAGACTCCTTTGAAACTCCTAACAACACAATAAACTGCCCGGCAGAAAGTTTTTGGGATTGAAAAAGTTTCAGCCAAGTTCTGCCACCCCTCGACGCGGACGGACATTCAGATTTCCGTCGGACGTGCCCGAAGAATCCCGATCGAACAAGTACTAAACGCCCCTTCATTTGGTCCTGAACAAAAACACATTCGACTCGAGATAAATAAACGTCAGTGATTATTTGCTCTTGGTAGTATTCTGGAATATTTTCTTTGCTCCTTTCGCGCGATATCTGTTTTCTTTTTGTTTGTAAACACGTGATAAAATAGGCATTGTAAAAGTTTATTCTGCGAAATTCGAGTTAACATATTTAGGTTTAGTATCAAGATTGATGTAATGTACTCCCCCCCTCCTGCCGATAGTGTAGCCGAGGACTGCTCGATGACGTTCCGAGGAAGCGGAAAAGAGCAGCGTCGACGTGGAATCGATACCAATTAGGATGCTTCTTCCGGTCACGCGACTTAACACCCTGGCATAATGTCGGCACGTGCCGTATATGCATGGTACTTTAAACAAAAAAATAGACGATAAAAACATCGCTTCCGGTTCCGACGTCAATCGGAACAATGGCACGGTACGCTCAGCTTTTTCCGGATTCAAGGGTTATCGAAGTTCGCGCTGCGTTCTTACTGCCTTCCGCCGTGACTTCATTATCGAGACGATCGGAGCGACGTTCGGTTGCCAAACATAAGACCCGCCCAACGAGCTATAATAAGTTCATTAAAATGTAGTAGTAAATGAAGGAGATAAAATTTAACATGCCAATGGAATCAACGGGGTTTGAATTGATAAAAAAATTTGTAACACGCACAAAGATCGAAAATTGTCGAAGAACAATGGGACAAACATGGGACAAACAATATGGTTGGTATCACACGTAATCTGCTCATGTCAACCAGATTCAATAGTAAAATACCAAACAACGAATTATACGGTTGCTTACAGTTATAGTGACAATATCTGGTTGCTCCAGAGTGTATCCATGATAAATGTCACTTCAATCGATTTCTGGTTACTACACCAAATCACGCGCAATTACATTGATGTACCAAAGCAACTGAGTTATATCAACCGTTGCCATCACACAAAGACTGCAACTATTTGCTGTTCAAAACTAAATATTTTTGATTATATTTTTATGGTTTATTTTAATATCGTTTATTCTTTAAAACGATCGAGCGCGCGTAGCGAGCTGCAGAACGGGCAAGTAGAAAGGACATCTCGTTTGAGTGCGACACACGATTCATCGAAAGACTGTCGTAGTTTTATGTATCAGCGGATCGACTAAGAGAGGTTCGCGATAGAGCCGCGTTGCGACGAGAGTGGAAGGTTAAAAGAGTCCACGCAAACATCTCGTACATTATACGGAATTTCTACCCCACGGAAACCAGCCAATAAAACACTCCCGGAACACATCGTCCACTCGCTCCCCTTTCGCTCTCCCGCCGTTCCTTCACCAACCCCCAACCCCCCCCCCCCCCCCGTAACTGCATTGTCCAAGTTTTTTTTCTTTTTCATTTTCTTCTCTCTCTTCTGCTCCTCGGCGACGTTCGTTCCCTCCCTTTCCGCGTTCGTCCCTCTTCCTTTCGCTCTCTGGTCCTACCGCGTCTCTTTCCGCGGTCTCGTTCCGTATTTTTCCTTTTTCTGTTTTTTTTCCCCCGGGTTCTCGAAGAGCGCACACACCCCCTCGATTACATTCGGAAATATTAGGGGACGTCCCGTCGCTCGACAAACTATCAATTTATTTTCTGCTATTGATTGGCGTGCGCCACGGCGCCGATACACTGACCCTCGAGCAGATTTTTTATCTCTTCTCGTGCGCATCCTCGATGTTTCCTCTATCTTGCGATGCGAGTCATTTCTCGGATTTGACGATTAACTACTTGCAATTTTTACAATTTTTACGAGATAACGACAAAAACCAAAGGGGTAGCGAGAAAATGGAAGCGCATAGGAGGAGGAGTATCTTCTTCGCTGCGAGCGGAATACACGTAAAACGCGCTCCTTGCCGACGATGACGGTAGGTGGGTAGGTAGATAGGTAAAAGTCGATGGACTATGTCCAAATCTATAGATTACAGCTGGTCATATAAATCATGACCGGGTTGGATGTAGCAGCGAGTTGAATGTTATCTGCCGCTTCCGGTTCGGCGCACCGACGTTTCGCATCGCGCGTGCGGAATATTCCGCGTGGGGACAGTAGTCCCGTTTTGTACCGCGGCGCCGGAGGCGAGATCGCCACAAAGCATATGCTGTCCGCTGTCCACTCCATTTACCTCGCTACGTCATCCGTCGTGATGCGGGGTGGGCAGATAAGGGATGCGGAGGGACCAGGAGAGAATCCTTTGTATTGTCCCGTTTTCGATAGGAAAAGTAGAGCAACGATGGATACCGCCGAGTGCAGCCCAATTTTTATCCTTTACGCGCGCGTACTAGGCAACAGAAAAGGCGCAGATAAAGTGTTGACAATGAATCGATGTGCGTCGCACGATACGTCGCACTTTAAGACGATGCCGACATAACGTAGTTTCGTAGTTCTCTTTTCTTCTAATCGGACGCATCAAATTGAAAATGTTTTTACAAGTACAAACGTTAATAAGTAGCTAGACAGAATGCATGAAATCAACAAACTATTTTTTATTTACCGATAAAACATTTTTTCTTTCGTACAGCACATCGCCTTAATCGCACAACTCGTTTCATCTCGTCGGCCGCTGAAAATAATAAAGATAGATAAAGATAGGAATAATTAGAGTTGTGAATGTGGTAGAAAACTTTCGTCTCAAAATATCTCGCCGCTATCTCCCGATAATTGGATATCTCCCGAGATAAACGCGCGATTGTTGATCGCTAATTTTCGCTTCGAAGTGTCACGAAATTCGCGCTAATCAATCAAATTCTCAAATCTGATAGATGCGGACATATGTTATTATGCGGCTCGATAAGTCGGCGTGATTGCGGACATTTTCGATCGCAAGAGATAAGAGAGTGAGAGAGAGAGAGAGAGAAAACAAGAGAGGCCGATTCGAATTCTCGATGGGGGATGTTACTCTGCATGTGTGCTCACGTCATACTATAGAGTAATAATGAAAAGTTTTTCTGGGGGTTACAAAAGTCAAACGCGGTCCCCATCGAGTCTCGATGGGGTGCCCTCAGGAAATCTAAACCGGTAACAAGATGGCTGCTCGGAAACGGAAACCGGAAGCTTGTCACTCAAGCTACGCGCGCTTCCGGCGTGTCCCGAAAAAGGGAAGCGCTCTTGGAACAGTCGAGGGGGCAGAGAGACGAGCATTGGATTGTTTCGGATGTACTGTTTCATTATATTCGTAGTGAAAAGTAAAGAAAACGATTATCACTGAAATTTTTATCGTTACATCCCATTCATCGAACGATAATAATGTATAGAGAGAGTCTGCGTTTTGGAATTTTATGCAACAAATGAACAAGACACAAAGACTATAAACGGATATACACGGACTTTCTTTTTCTTCGAATAAAAGTTTCTTTTTTTCACCGGGAAGCTAATTGTGACAAGTACGAATATTGAAATCTTTCGTTTGACTCTTCGTGCAAATTAGAAAACAAAGTTAAGAGAAACGTGTGAAGTGTAGCTTCGGAGCAAGATATCTATGAGGAAGAAAGAATAGACAGAACGCGTGAAAAGGCTTAAGTGATCTTAAGATTCAGATTTATTAAATATGCTTCTGATATATTAGTTTACTATGTATCATACACAATGTACATATATACAACCTACATATAATCGACTTATCGATTAAGCGCGAACAAAATTGGGATATCTTTGCGATTGTTCGCGATGTCGTGACTTTACATTCAATTGTTTGATTATTTTGCGCTGAATACATTGTTCAATCGGCGTCGGATATCGTATAATACTTATTAGCTCGTCAAACCTAAACGTTATTAATACATCGTCATCTCAAAGTGCTATTTTAAGATTCCGATTAACTCTTAACTTTAACGAGAATAATGATTTGCTAAAGAAATCCGTATTAATATCAGCCGAGTCGTCTCGGTTTTATGTAAAGCATCTTCTTTGTCATAAATACACGTTGAAATCACTGACAAAGTCACGTGCAGTCTGAATACTCGGAGATATTTGACTTTGTAGTTAGTAACCTCACAAGAGTACGAAACTCTACTTTGAGAATCCTATCAAACACCACAATTATATTGTCTTTCAACAACGAGATGAGTGAGACAACAGAGAGAAAAAGAGAGATAGATAGTTTATTCAACCTTGGGATTGAAGGAAGAGAGAGAGAGAGAGAGAGAGAGAGAGGGAGGGAAGGAAATAAGGGGTGAGTTGCGAATCGAGTGTTAGCTGAATCGCGAAGGAACGTCCACGAGTTGTGTACCGTAATGATTTATCCGTCGATCGAATCGCGGCGGACCGCAATTGAGTCACGAATTTAACCTTCGACCAGTCTGGCAGTAATCCATTTTGTACGTACTTATGATTCATCGTCGTTAGAAAGAAATTGTCGATTATGGTACGCGAACGCTCAATTATACGATATCGAAGTTGGCCGTGCACTCTATGTGGAAACTGTTTCCGATGTATGGTGCGCTTCAGGATCTAATCGCAATTCTCTGCGCACGTATACGTTTCTGCCGTGACGCGTTTCTAAGGACTAATTTGAACTCTCTACGTGATCCTTCGTAAGGTGTTATAACAATTTTGTACAAACATCTTACTTTATACGAGCGCAACATCCATTCACCTAAAAGAAAAGATGGGAATCTTCTACTATGTTTCCTTACGTCTATTTCATTATTCGCTTATCTATTCACATGAATTCAGCTCGTTAGACGCGAACAATCTTTGGTATCCGACGGTATATATTCGCACTGTGTCTCTTCTCGTAAATATCAATACTCTTCGCAGAAGGGAGACACTTGCCCGCTAATTGGCCGCGGCGGGCTTCAAATGCCTCTCGAAGAAATTATCTATAGCTGCGTTAAATTATCCATCAAAGTTACCTTTCGATGACTTTGCGCGTCAAACATCGATAAGGGAATCTCCGTCGAGGGTTCACCATCTCCTGAATCGTCAATATCGTCTTCTAATTCCTAAATGCTCGTGAGCACGCGTCGAGGTGTTAGCAAACTAGTATATCGCGATATGTTCGCTCGTAAATTCACGTCTTTCAAGAATATTTATCGCACATCATTCGGCGATCAAGCCAGCAGAGTTTCGTTAGTGTTTTACGCACGGTAAATACTTACCTAGAAATATTACGTGCCTCAAAATTATGTTAATTATTTCAAAAACGTCGCTTCCTTCACTAAAATTTCGCGCACGTTTATCACCGCAAAACCTCGAGCGAAGCTTTATGTTTTATGAAATACTAAGGAAGCTTTGAAACGAAGTGCATTGTTTCGCGCGTTCAAGTGCATTCAAGGCTCTCGGCTTCGAATATACGCGGTGGTCAAGTACACCGCGTAATCACACATAGCCAATCACTTTGGTAACGATATTTAGTTCTCTCATTTCGTCGCAGGACGAATAATTGTTGGAAATTGTCGTGGTTGCCAGTCGCGGCTGATAATCGACAGGCACGTAGTCGAAACTGTTTGCGAATTGTTCCCATGTTTTTTTCACCTACTAACGCTCGTCCGCCGAGATATTAGAGTGGATAACACCGACTAATTAACCGACAGTCATTAACACTATCATCACGCCCGATTAGAATCGCCGCACATTCGCGTTGCACGATCCCATCACGTCTTTCCGCGTCCGACCGCGTCTTCTCGTGTGACCGCGATTTCTCGATTCGAGTCGAGAAATCACCGAGAGAATCACCGATGATTAGCAGAATCATCATTACGGATCATCACTTTGAACCGCCCTCAGAAAAAGATCCATCCACGGGTCGCTGCTGTCCGACCACGGCGCCGCTTGTCCTACCACCAGTACTTTTGTATGTACGGTGCCATGGGGACCTGGCCACCGGGATACCCCGTGGGTTCCATCATCTTAGACTGGCAAGGCTTGCCGTCTCTCACCAGCACCGGCACGGCGACTCGCCTTGGCGAGCAGCCGCTGCCGCCGGCCTCGATACGTTCACTAGCTGCCCTCTTGGTCTTGTACCTGTGATTTTGAAACCAGATCTTCACCTGGGTTGGCGTCAGTCGGATGATGGAGGCGAGATGCTCGCGTTCGGGCGCGCTCAAGTACCGCTGCTGACGAAAGCGCCGTTCAAGTTCGAAGGTTTGCGCCTTAGAGAACAGTACCCGCCGCTTGCGCTTTTTGTGCTCGGTCTCGTGCGTCTGTGTTTCGTTACCCTGCTGCTCGTCTTCGAAATCCTGCGACTCCTCGTCCTTCGACTCGTGGCTGTTCTCCTGCTGTGACGGGAACGACAAGTCCGAGATCGCTGGGCTCGTCGAGTCCGGTTGCTGGAGAACTGAAAGAAACCAACAGAAGAAAAAAAAAGAGTTGTCGACGCAGATAAAAAACGCGAGAGGAAATTTTATTCTTATCGCTCCCCCTTGAGAAACTTCGCTGGTGTCGTTGTGAAGGAATCATGTCGAGGAGTTTTGTCATGTCTTACTTTTTTCTGCCCTATTAATTGTTAAACAATCGCGGTAGCTGAATCGTCATCGAAATGGACGAGACGACGACATACATACGACGTCCCTGCTCGGTTCCAATCGACTCGATATTATCGACTTCTGATCATTAATAAGGCCCTAAATATTTATAATCCTCATCATTAATCATTCCGTTTGATTCCGCAGATTTATTATTCATCAGATTTATTACATCAGGCTCTGATTGCATGACTTGTGAGAACTCATAAACCAGACAACAGATTGGGATAATCACATAGGATAAATTTCTATTCGGGTAATAACTAAACGTATGTTCGTTATAAACGTAACTGCAGCACTGCAGCTGCACCTCGCCGGCGTTCACCCGGCGTTGTCGGCTTGCTCTTAGCGTTGATTAGTCGGCAGATGCACGCCTGCATCGATTTTTTTTAATAAGTCTCCTAATCGCCGCCGATTGGTTAAACGACTAAATCTCGCGATAGACCATCCGTATCCAATTATTGCTACTTTGGAACGCGGAAGCGTTCAAATTGCACATCTCTTTTTGAATTCTGTCCTAATATACGCTCAAGATAATTTTTATCTTGAGGCGCATATCACGCTGAACTTGAAGAGGATCCTGTCATTGCAATGAGTTATAAACGTTACAGTGATTATCATTCTTAATTCGCCCTTGCGATACAACGGACGATACAATGTGCTTTACGAAGGCGCATTGAATTTGTACAATGTGGAGGAATGCGGTGTCATTCAAAGACGCGGCAATTATACCGGGAACAATAACTTGATTTGCCCGACGACGAAGCGGTAAATGTTGCTGTGTCGACCGAAATACAGGCCAATTTAATGTACCCAACGTTGGGTATCTCGGCGGCTTTCACCATAGAACAATATGCGAGCGAGCGAGTTCCGAGCCCGCTCGGGGAGGGTGTGAACCAATATAAAGCCTATTCGATTCCCCCGCGTCACGGACCCCACGGGATCAACCGTATCATTTTCATGGGAGATTAGACCGTACTCGCAGTCGTGCTGCGATTTCAATTAGACACTCGTCAAAAGAAACTAATGTCTCCAGAAGAAGACGTAGTACGGCGGTAGCGAAGGAGAAAGGGATTATCTCGTGTTTCTTTGGGCCGAGAGATCCCCAGGTTCTGGGAGCAGATTTCTCGACAAACACTGTATTATTTTTGCATGAACTTGAGTTGTGCGTGCAGTTACCATCGTTGCCAACTCAGAGCGCATAGAAAAAAGGTAAGCAATAAGAAAATTGACCAATCACAAAATCGATTATTCTTCTGTATTTATTGATTATTTTTTTATCATTCTATTTTTCATTATTATTTTGATTATTATGCTGCATCATAAGGAAAATAATCGACTATGATTGATCAATTTGCTTATCCTTTAAGTTTTTAAAACTGTACTACTCCCGAGCTTGAACGCCACGAAGGGGCGTTCTCATGAGTAACGTGTGAAAATTGTAAACTTTTCCTTATTTGAATTAGAAATCATTTCTTTTCACTGCGTCCGTTATGTATATTATCTATGCTGCGCCAATATATATTAGGGGAGATTGGAGTAATTGCGAGCGCGGAGTAAATGCAAACGACATCATTTCTCTGTGTTCGCACTGTCACACTTGAAATCTTGCAATCTTCTGAAAATCAGAAGAGAGAAAAGGTTCCCTAAGGGAAGATGTACATGACATATCAAAAGTGAGCCGATAAAAACCTGCTACTGCACCGCAATTATTCGCGCGCGGCGCGTTTCTCAACGGTTCGTCGTCCCGTTCGTCCGTCTCGACGACCGTGTAAACTGTGACCGCGAAAGGGAGATAAAGAGAGCGCGAACGAGAGACAGCGGATAGGTCGTCGGCGAATTTTTTGGGCGTGACGATCCCGATTGAATCGACGGGGCCCGAACCCTGGGCCCCGAGCACACATCTGTCCCCTGTGCGACATCTGTCCTCTTTCGCGGGCCAATCGCGGAACGAGTATCCACGAGGACCTTTTACAGAACCATTAGATCCTGCTTAACCCTCGCGGGCCAATTGTAGGGTGCTAAATAAATAAGGGTCTCTATCGGCGCGCCCTTTCTCCGACCGCCCGCGAAGGCGCGTGTGCGTGTGCGCGCCCTTTCACGCGTACGCGGAGGAAAGGGCCGCACGACGGAAGGCGCATAGTGAAATGAGACGAACGTCCCATCTCTTATGGCGCGATTGATGACTTTGATTATACATTCATCTCGCGCAATACTCCTCCGTACTCAGCAAGAAGCATAACAATATCGAGTTGTGAGGGTGACGGGAGGTAAGGTGAAACATATCACGGTCGAATAAAAGATGATCGTCTCTATTCGCACTCACCATTCACTTCCTCCAAGGGTTGAGGTAACGCCGTCGGCAATGCCGGTCCCGTTGTCCATCCTAATAATCCGGGTGGAGGTGGTGGTAGCGTACTCCTGGTCAAATTAGCGTGCATAGCCGGTTGTAGCATGGCGGACGTATGCTCCAGAAGTTGTTGGTAAGCCGACGGCATGTCGTTTGCCGCCGATAGAACTGTTGTCGCACCTGGAGCACACGGATCCCATTGAATACGAAATTTGCAAAATTTTCTGTATTATTTTTATTTTCCCCTCTTTTTTATTTATATTATTTGTTTAATACACACACACACACACACACACACACAGTGATTTCACGAGCAATCTTACAACCTTGCACATTTGTCTCTTCTTGTGACGGCTTGTTGTCATTTAATTCCAAAATGTCGCTGATGTGGAAGCTGGATGTCCTCGCCGGTACTTTGATACAACCTTCCAGCAACCTGTGCCGACATTACATACATCAGAAAAAAATTTTCCAACGATATAATGGGTACGTTCCATTTGGACGCATTTTAAGCGCTTATAAGCATCGCTTACATCGTTCCTTTTGACATCGTGAGCGCTTTCGAACCGAATAATGACGTCACATCATGACTTGCATTCACAAACTTTTATTCTATCGAGTTAGGGCAGCAAAAGCGTGAGAGCACTCACAAGTCAAATAGAACGCAGAATAATCGTAGGCATAATCGTTCGTTTATCGTGCGCACTGTTGTCTTGACGAAAAAATGTCACATCGTCCGACACGACCTTGGCTAAACAAAACCGCATCTGTAGGCGTACAAACGAAGCGAATATCTCGAGTCGAAAAGTCGACTTTACAAAAAAGGTTGGTTTGGCAATCCAATTTTCGTAGCTATCGCTCGGTCCGGAAGCACCGTGACGACCGTCAAGAAGCCACCAGTCCTTCTCTTTCTGAGGACCCGACTCAGAAGTGTCTTCAAAAGACCAATACCTGCGAGTTCGAACAACCTATCTTGTTGAGAGGACCTGTGCACAGAAGCGAATTCTTGTGCCAGATTTTTCTAATCCGTGCGACTTATTATTACAACACGTTCGTACTCCTCAAATGATCCTGGCCTCGAAAAATCACGTTTTATGTGGATGTTGCGGCCACTCAAACAGGAGAGGCAAATCTCAGCTATTGAAAAACTCGAGATGTGTGAAATTTATGCTTCGTACAGCTAATATACGCACGAACGTTTTCTATCCTATCGTTTAAAAGTTCTCGTTCGTTTTTTTTCGCTTCTCCATTCAACATAACAGCACTAATCCCCGGAAACATGTATTGGTACTTTTACTTTTATTAGAAACATTGGAAATATTTTACGAGAAATATTGAAACGGTCAAAGTCGATCTCTGCCTTCTCGCGAGAATTCAAATACTTGAAATTTAAGCAAATACAAGCTAAGCGAGCTGATGTCGGAGCTAACATTTTCCGTATTTTGATAACACATGACCACAAGATAACGTTAAATTTAAATCTTATATATTGGCTGAAGGTGTCCTCTACAAAACGGGACATACATGCATGTATTGTAGTTATATGACTTTGAAGACACCTATATTGATAATATTAGCTCCAAGACCGACTTAATCTTTATTTGTTTGAATTTCAAGTATTTAAATACATTTGGTGCGATTGTATATATCGTTATATATATATATATATATATATATATATATATATATATATATAT